CTTATATAATATTCACCAAATTCTTACCCTTCCACCCTATCCAGGCACTCTGATGGCACAGCAGTCAGGAAGATGTGAGACGCTGACCACTAAACTAGACAGTACCCTGAGAGACTTGCTGAAGCCAAGAAACTTTCCAAGCAGGAAGACTGGCTGCAGCTGGCATGGCCAGGCTGCCATTATCACTCTGGAGTGGGAAGGAAAACGGGTGTTATTTTCAATCAGGTTTATGAGTACACCTTCAGGCAAAACAGAAGGACACTGAGATAATCCTTGCCCTCAGGAAGCCTATAATCCAGTGAGGGAAACAAAAGCAATGCTTGTCAACAACCCTAGCACTATAATCCCCAAATGAAGCATATATAGATAACAAAGAAATAAAAAGGAAAGATCATGGGGTAGAAATTTTTGAATAAGTACTTGTGAGTTGAAGTGAACCTAAAATGACTCAAAAGAAGGAAAAAGGCATGTCAGGCTGGCAGATCAAGAACCTGAAGACAACAAGCAACCTGAAAAGCAACAAGCAGATTACTTTTTCAATTTGAGTCCATCCAATTACCTCACCAAACATGCAAAAAATAAATGGGCAATTGGTGTCAGTTTGTTCGAAAAGATTCCCACCCACATTCCCTTAAAAAGAATTAAAAACAAAAACTCCCCCGGATTCTGTAAAAGAAACCAGACCAAGATTCTGAAATACTTTTCCTTAATTGTGGTGGTCATTTAGCTGCTAAGTCGAATCCGACTCTTGAGACCCCATGGGATTTTCCAGGCAAGAATACTGGAGTGGGTTGCCATTTCCTTCTCCATCCTTAATTGTAGTCTCTGATATTACAAAGTCAATTTCATAAAAGCCACGAACCAGAACAGGAACAAATTTTTTCAACAATAAAAACACGAAGCAATCTGTCTGAACTTTCTCTCAGCAGAATTAACAAGGTATGGTGAACAAGCATACCGCTGCAAAAAAAAAGTAACATTAACAATTGGGGTCCAAGTTCCACTACCAATTAAGCAGCAATTTCATATTATAAAGTGCTATAACTTCCTATCTCCAACCTACCTTACATTGACAACCTTCCACCACTGCAACTGATGAAAGTTTTTTGTAATTACCTCACAAAATAATATAATTTTCTAAAGCTAATGACAGTTGTCTTACACTTATTTAGCAGTTTGTATTTCTTCTTAGCCATTATATCCACTGGATCTCACAACCAACCAGTAGGTAAGAGAGAGATTATCCATTCCCATTTTACAGATTAAAACAAATGGAGATCAGATAGGGTTAGAGAATAACTCAAGGTCACACAGCTACTAATTGGCAGTGTTATGAATTTCTAGGCCAGCATGTGTCTTCTTTGCTAGGATGATGACCTCTGACAGGATCATACAACCATAGTCAAATAAAAATGCACTAATCTCAAAAGTTAGAATGGAAAAGTAAATATTACTTCAAATTTACTTTGCTAGGTGAAAGCACTGCTTTTATCCTGACCAAGCATCCTGTTCTTCACCATAAAAAATAATTTTGTTTAGCACCTTCAGAAATTCTAACTACCAACATGTTCTAACTTTTAGAAAGTAAATGAAAAACAAAATGCCTGTTTACAGACACAAAACAGTAAATGTCAGCTGAGCAGACTTAAAAACCGCTCAAACTTCTGAAAAACTGGGAATGGAAGCAGTGATCATCTTAATTGTTGTTCTTGTTTAACGCTAACTACTCCTGTGACCCCATAGACCACCGAAGCCCGCCAGGCTCCTCTGTCCATGGGATTCCCCAGGCAAGAATACTGGAGTGGGTTGCCATTTCTTTCTTCAGGGGATCTTCTCCACCCACGGATTGAACCCAAGTCTCCAGCACTGCAGGCGGATTCTTTACTACTAAGCAACCAGGATAACCTTAATTACCATTCTTCAATTCTTATGGATATTGGCACATTCATAGAAAGGGTGATGTGGACAAAGCCCACCACCCTCAGCCATTTTAATGTGCTCTCTCTAAACTCCAAATAAATGAAATAAAAACTCCCCGATTTCACAAAGATGATATAGAAGCCACACGAGTTCAGTACTTCTGAGGCTGAACATGGAGCAGGAAGTTTCTAAAACAATTAGAAATGGGTTAGAAATGTGTTTACTCTAAAATCCACACTTAATACTGACTTCTTTGCATGCTCTCTGTATGAAAAAAAAATAAGCCTCAATAAAACCCTCTGCCATGTACTGTTTCTAAACTTCTGATAATTCCACTCCATAACCCTAAGTGCTGCACCGCCCCCCCCCACCACCCAGAAAATACGAGACACACACTCGCTTCACATATAGGCCTCTTGCCTTCTTCTCTAACAACTAGGACCTTTGTTCCAAACGTCGGTTTTTTACCCCACTCAATAGCTCTTTCAAGTTTCTACCCCGTATTTTTTTTGTTTTGCTTTTTGGAGAGGAGATTCTGAGCCTCAACTTGCCGGGTCTTTTTAACAAATGAAACGCCAAAAATAGCTAGATACTGGAGAGGAATAGAAAGTTCAACAACACACCACAGAAGGGCCTACAAAACCGAGGAAAGCCCGGGGATCGGGTGATCTGGCAGCCCAGGCGAGACCGGGGAAGGCCGACGAGGAACGGAGACAGCAGGGCAGCAGTTAGACGTCCACTCGGAACAGGCCCACTGCCCTACTAAACGCCCCCCACCCCGCGCCCCATTCCACACACACCAACGTTCCTCCTGACACATTCTGTCCCCCCAATTACCCGACGAAACAATTAAACCATACCCACCGCCAGATACCGGGCTTAAGCTAAACCTCCCCCTCAGACAAAGTAAAAAAAAAAAAAAAACGGCATTATCAAAAACAAACAAATCTGTCTTAAGGGTTTAGGAGCAGCCCCTTCCGTCCTCTTCTCGCCACACGGGGCACCCAATTCCCTCTCGTTCCCGTCCCCCCGCAGGAGTTCAAATGTCTTAAGCTACCCCTCGACCTCCCGCCACGATTTGCTTGTGTGTTTAAATCTTTTTTTTTCTCTTCCTCCAGCAAATGAAAAGATTTCGCTTTTTTCTGAGGATGGGACCGACACGGAGAAAAGAACAGGATGGGGGACGCTATCACCTTCGTTATTTGCACTCCCCTCTAACTTCCACAACTGGAAACCCACTCACTGTGGAGGAGGATGGAGAGAGGGTGAACTGAACGGACAGACGTTATAATAGGTTTTATGTAATCCACATATAAATAAATTAATCGCCTGACTCGCTTTGAATACTAATACGACAGGAGTGACAACCGGTCCACCTCCCTCCCCACAGGTCCTAACCCCACCCCCACCCCCAATTTCCACGCCGATCAATGGAGAAGGATGCTCCGCTCCCCTCGGTCAAGTTTCTCGGCCTGTTTCACGCCGCCCCCCGCCGCCCTCTCCGCGTCCCCACTCCGTCAAGCCTCAACTTCCCACGGGCTGAAAAATCAACTGCCCAGCACAGACCCCCCGTCTGCAGCCTGGCCCGCCCTCAACCGTCTCCCCCCCCACCCCCCACCGTCGGCAGGAAACCTCTTACTGCGGTCTAAAAGTCACTCCGGCCGCTCCCTCCTCTGACCCTCGCTTCCCACAACTGTTGTCACTCGAGCTGCTCCCTAGTTTCCATTTCCGGGCCGTTCCCTGGCCCCGGAGCCTCCCCTCTCCCGGTTTCCGGGCCCCCCATCCCATTTCCGGGGAACCCTAGCCGTCTTTCACACCCCCCCACCTGCACTTCCGGCCCCCCACTTTCTGTCTTCCTAGACGCCCTCCGCGCTCCAAAAGCCCACTTCCGGCCCCCCCGACACACACGACACCCGCCGGGCTCCCCCAGACCCCGCACGCCTTTACCCCCAGGTTCCGTGAAGGGGCCCTCCTCATGGTTGGCGGAGGGGGGGCACCCAGCGCCCCGCCCCCCTCACCCCTCACCCCCGACTCCCGCCCAGCCCCGGGTCCCCTCCAGCCGCGGTCTCTCCCCCTCGAGCGCCTAACCCGTCAACCCCCTGGCCCAGTCCTTCCGCGGACCCGCCGCCGCCGCTGCCGCCGGGAACAGGCCGAGCGTGGGGGTCGGGTGGGGGGAGGACCAGAATCGCGGTGATGACACAACCGGGCTTCCTGGGACTTTCTGTTCCAGCTCCTCCCCGCCGCCACCGCCACCAGCACCAGCACCACCATCACCCCCCCTTCAACCCCTCAACACAGCCCCCTCCCCCCCACCCAGGCCTGGCCCCGCCGCCGCTCGGAACTGCGCCCCAATTACCTAGTTGGGCCCCAAAGTCTCCGGTCCGGACTCGGTGGCGCGGCAGTAACTTCCTCCTCGCTCCCCCCACCCCCCCCAAGCGGCGGCGGCGGCGGCGGCTCCTCGGGTCCCTTCAATTATCAGCTGAGCCGCAGCACCGCTCCCGGCGTGCGCCTCCGCCCGCGCCGCCTTCTTCCCTCCCCGCCCGTTCCAACACCCTCCGGGAACTATTTTGCCCGCCGAGGCTCGGACAGACGGTGCTCGTCCGCGGGACAGGCCCCCCGCTGCCTACTCGCGGCTCCTCACATCGCCCCTCCCCTGCCCTCCCCTCCCCTCCCACCCCGCCCCCCCCCGCCGTCTCGCCACTGCCGGGCTCGACTTCCCCCAGCGGCCTGCGACCTCCTCCCGATCCCTTCGAGGGACCAGGAAGGGGAATGTGAGACTTCGCTTGATATCCCTCCGCCGGGGTCACCGCCCCCCCCCCCCGCCTTCCCCACTCTCCCCTCGGTGGTAGCAGGAACTAATTCCCCTCCGGGTCACCCGGGACCTCAAGGTGGATATTTCACGGCTCAAGAGTTCCTGCCAACCCTCGGATGAAGGGGATAATCACCCCCAAAGCTAGAAACACCCCTCGAGCTCGAAAGTAGGGTTCGATTTTTTTTTTTAACCACGGCTGTGGCCCTCGTGACCCCAGGCAAGCCCCGCCCCTTCCTGGTTGTCTTAGCGACGGCGGTGGCGTCCCAAGATGGCGTCGTGGCTGCCGGAGACTCTGTTCGAAATTGTAGGACAAGGCCCAGCGCCGAGCAAAGACTATTACCAGTTATTGGTCACCCGGTTCCAGGCAAGTGCGAGCCGCGGTTTCCCTTCCTACCAACTCTCCGCCCGCCCCGGCGGAGCCTGGAAGGCGAGCCGCGCTAGGCCCGAGAGCGACCGGTCGTTAGCCGGAAGCGCCGGGTCCCAGCTCCGAGCCGGGAGATTTCCCCTCGTCACCTCAATCTCCCGTGCGGGCCCAGCCGCCCGCGTCGTCCCTTGCTCCCAACCCCCAGCCCCGCTCGTACCCGGCGAGCCTTCTTGGCCTCCTCACAACGCCGCCCGCTCCCTTCCCGCCACCCGGCGTTCCTACCCGTCGAGTTCCCTCCGCGCGAAAAGAAAAACAGTCGTCCGCGGCTTGCGTGCAGCCTCTCCGTCAGCGTGGGAAGGAGGGAAAGAAAAGACTCAGTCAAGTGTCCCGAGGAGGAGCCGGCCAGGGAGGGGAGAAAGGGAGAATTTTTTTTCCAGGGTAGGGTTTAATTACGGGAGATTTTGTACATCTTATCGCGGGCTTTTACGTGTATACCAAGGCCACATCAAAAAAACAAAAACAAACTTCCTTGTTTTGGGGAGGAATTGAGCGTTGGGAGCTTTCCCCTTACCTTTTTGGAGCCCCTTCTATCCCATGGGAAAGAGCGCGGGGCGGGGGTTGGTACAAAAATGTTTCAGCTGCTCTGCGCGTCAGCCCCACCCATAAATGACATCTGCTCTACAACAATAAGACCGCGGATTATGTTATCGCTCGAGTAACCATCGGCCTATTTTCCTGACTACTTGAGCTGTTTAAGGTGGGCTTTCGTGAATGATTTATTGTGCCCACGAAACTTACAAGTTGAACTGGGCCTCCACTCGGAACTCGTTTCTGATTTTCCCGCTGAGTTTACTTAACACCTGTCACCGCGATATTCATGCATCTTGCGCTTTTCCTAGATGGTATTCCTGTAAAATGAAATTTAGAATTCTGTATAACGTACTTATTTTGGTGCACGTATTGACTGTTTGATCAGTTTTTCCAAGAGCACTTCAATAAAATAAACTGACTTGTAGCTTCAAAAGCATCTTTTAAAAAAAGGAATAATGTGTATTTTACTTTTGTATCTAAGATTTCTAAATATTACATGCGTAATGTCAATATTACAAACGTGATAGCCTGTCGAACTTAAATTTTTCGTTAAACACTTTATAAGAAATGTTTGCCCATGGAACTGGGATTTCCTAAAGGCTGCAATTTACTTGCTTTGTACATTTATTTTAGGATTGACTATTTTACATTTGCTTTAAGATGTATGATCCTGACAGTTCTTCACATCTAGCATGAACGATTGAAAGCAGTATCATATGTAGTCTGACTTCATTTTCTATTTTATCTACTTCAAGTAAGTTAGAATGTTATGATTTTCATTTTACAGTCATTTCCGTAACTTGTCTTTAAAAATTGTTTTTGAGTGTTTCTTTTCCTGTTATACTCTATGTTGTAAGCCTCAACAAACTGAATTACTGTTTACCTTTGTCTTTTTTTTTAGAAAATTAACCATAGGAGTCCTCCTGGTATTGCTTTCCCCCAAGAATGGTTCTGTTGTTGGTGTTCTTCAGACTTTACTCCCTGGTCTAACTTGGGCACATGCCTTCCTCCAACTACTCTCATGAAATTTTTCTTGCCCCACCCCCCAATATTATTCTTTTTTTTCTTTCTTTCTTTTTCTTTTTTTTTTTAAACACATCAAAAAACTCTTGTCTATTTCAGGCCCTATATTTTTTCTGTCTGTTGCTTGTGTATAAAATTCTTTTCAAGTTCTGATCCCTTTATTTTTTTAAAGCAGACTGAGTATATTCAAGTTCTGCCAGTGAGAGTTAATGTCAAATGTGATTAATTCACTCTCTTGTTAAAGTAAAACTTGTAAAAAATAGTAAACCCCCAAAATAGTCTTTTCAGTCAAAGGTCTTGAGTATATGTTATTTTCTAACCACAATATAATTTTTCTAAGTCTCAACCCAGGAAACTAAACATCCAGTGAGAGATGATCTGACATAAATAAGTACTAAAAGACTTGAATTACAATGTCTTTTATAAAATGGACTTTTTTCTTGAGTGACTTTTTAAAATTGATTACTGTGCATTTGTTCTCTCACTTTCTTTCTGCCTTTATTCCCCAAAATGATGTATATTATCCAAAATATGCTCCAGATTTAGATGGATGCTTCTTTTACTGATTCCGTTTTTTATTCTCTTTCATTGCTTTTATTTTTGTTTGCTTTAAATCCAAATAGCTGCACATTTGACTTGGATTTAAAGGCACATAGATCTCTCATTAGAGCATCATACCATTATCTTAGTCCAAAATATATAAATGTTGTACGTTAGTATTTCCTTTGTCTTCTTGCTTATACAGTGACATCAAATAATGCTTGTAGAGACATTCCCAGTTAACAGCTTGATGCCATGATTTTTTTTTTTCTTTCAAAAAAGGAACTTAGAGAATATAGCTTGAGGTTAATATAGCTTAATTCTCAAATCTGATCTTTTTAATGATGATCCAAAGGCGTAGAAAAATCAGTGTCCTGCTTTCTAAATCAAAGATTTACCCAAGTATTCCTATTCTAGTTTTAGTAGTACATATTATATTGGGTTCTCATCCTTTGAAAACTAGCAGATTCATAGTTAGGGCCAGAAGGAATCTTGAATATAGTTCAGACTGGGGGTATTTCATTTAGTTTCTAAGAAAGTCTTATGTTTCTAAATGAAGATCCTTTCCTTTATTTTAAATCAGCAACTTGTAATTTATTGTGGGGATGCAAAATATAAGAGGATTCCTGCCTTCAAAGAGTTTACCATTCCTTTAACAAAAATTGAGCACCTTTTATGTGCCAGGTACCTTTCTAGATTCAGAGAATCATCAGTGAACCAAAGTCCCTCCTCTCCTGAAGCGTATAGTCTAATGGGAAGAATATAGGTAAGTGACTTGTTTTCTGTAAACACTCCAATGCTTTAGCTTTCGTTTTAAGTACAAAGGAGATTCTTGAGGAATTGCCAAAGTTAATGAATAGCTCAAACATTTTAAAATCTATGAATCCAGAGGAAGCAGTAATCACTTTAGACTATGAGGTGCAGGAGAGCACTATGACAAGTTTTTTACTCTTGAAATTCTGTTTTATTTGTCCCCTTGAAATAGAAGTGTTGCTTAAGGTGGTCAGAACTAGTGACTTGGGTTTAATGTGACAAATACTGGAAAACTGCTAGAAACACTAACCATGTGCTAAGTAGATAAGAGTTGGCAGATATGGCCTGTTGCTCCTAAAAACAGGTGGTTGCCCCAAGAAGACAAGTATGTTATAGTCACTCCAGCAGATGAAAGAAGGATGAAGAATTATGAAATAGATTAGTCTTATTTTATCTGTCTCATTAAATCTTAGAACTCCCAAAAAGACACCTGAAGCTAATGTCACCTGGGGAAAAAAAAAAAAATCTGAAAACTCACTCCCCCAAAGTAGCAAATATTTTTGACATGCTTTAGAGCTGGAGCACTGATAAACTGAAAACACCTGAGGTCCCATGCCAGTCTGGGACAGGAAGCTTTCATTTCAGTGACTTCTGAAAAAGGAATTAAAACTAGACTTGGTGGCACTTGTTTGAAAGAGACTTCACAACAAAGAATTGTGCTGCTGACACTTCAATCCACTGACCGATTTGAAAGATTTAAAATTTAGTACTGTCTAATAAAAATGTCAATCCAAACACCCTTTGGCCTAGCATATCCATATCTAGGATTTTATATCCAAAAATATTTTGACATGTGTACAAGGATATGTGAGCAAGAATGTTCACCAGTGCTCACTTAGGCAGCATATATACTAAAATTGGAAGAATACAGAGAAGATTAGCATGGCCCCTGCACAAGGAAGACACACAAATTTTTGAAACATTCCATATTTTTGTTTGACAGAAAACAATAAAATTTTGTAAAGCAATTACCCTTCAATAAAAAAATTAATTAAAAAAAATCACACCCCCCCCCAAAAAAAACAAAGAATGTACACCAAAGTAAAATAATTGTGAAAATATCTTTCCATAAACTACTATCCAATCTTGGGACTTCCCAGAAGGTCCAGTGGTTAAGACTCCACCCTTCTACTCAGGGGCAGGTGTTTGATCCCTGGTCTGGGAACTAAGATCCCATATGGCACAAGGCACCAGCAAAAATAAAAAGATGAAAAATATGCAGTCTTTTGAAAAAGATGTGATAGATCTCTTATTTTTTCAGTTGACCAAATAAAACCTTAAGCAAGGAAAGCAAGGTTAAACATCGTATGATCCCATTTTAAAAAAAAGAACCAATAGTTTTCATTTTGTTTTGAATAAATGTTGGAAAAACTAGAGGGATTCCCTCTTACCAATAGAGTTATGGATTGCTTTTGCTTTCTCCATTACATATTTCTGAAAGATCTGTAGTTTTCCTACAGAAATATTTTTATAATCAGACAAAAACAATAAAGGTTTAAAATGAAGATACAGAGAACCCTAACTCTGAGAAGTTGCCTTCCTCCGTGTATCATCTTCCTCCTGTTTCACCAGTGCCACCTTTGAGCCACCTCCCACACTAAACCATGGGCCACATCAACAACTATGTCACCAAGATCCTGCTGTGTTGTACCTGGGCGGGGAGGAGGGGGGTTGTCAGGTCACACAGGGCGGAAATACTGTTTATTCCAGAAATTCAGAAGGTGCAAGCTGAGTTAATGGTTGCTTGTAAAATTTTAAGGAGATCTTACTGAAACTTCTGGCCTTATGTTTTTGCTTTCGTTTTTGCTTTCAATGTAAGTAGTAATTACTTTTGAAAAACTAAGGGGCAGCCCACCGTTGCCTTGTTGGGTGTGTAATTGTACTAATGCTATAAAAGAGACGTGGAGGGAACTCCCTCTTGGTCCAGTGCTTTCACTGCTGTGTCCGGATTCCATCCCTGGTCAGAGAAGTAACCTGACTAACTAAACTAACCTTTGATGCCCTGGCTGTGAGCATCGAACCAAAAAAAAAAA